GCCAACGCCAACGCAACGCCAAAGTTCTATGTGGACGGGCCTTAACAGCTGTCATACAAATACACGTGTTCAATTTTACTTGACAATGACGGCGTGACGCATTTGCCGGCGAACACATGTTGTGTACCTTCGCTTTAAGGCGAGTTCACCGTTGGTGTCCGGCAAATTTTTATTTGCTCTCAAAACAATTTTGGGCATAAATGCAGAATAGCTCCGATTCTCAAATTAAACAAGTAAGAAAGTCTAAGTTCGGGCGGAGCCGCACATAAAATACCCGGCGCAAGTTTTAAATATATGATTTTCACCTTTCCGAAAGCTACCGCTACATGGTAGGCCGGGTGGTACCAATTTTGAGTAAATTGGCGTACTTAAATTTCGAAATATTGAAGCTTCAAGCATTTCTGAAATTTACCGTTATATGAAAAGCGACCTCAATTTCAATCCGATTTCAATAATTTTCAACGTTTTGCTTTTATGTGGCAAGCACAATAACCATACCGAGTTTGGTACAAATTGGTAGAACGGTTACCGAGATACATATATTTTTTTGTTATTTTATGGCCTTATAACAATTATATTCAACAATTTTTATTGCGCTTGAGGCCATTTTTAATGAAAAACTTATTGTGGAAAAGCAACAACAATTTGAAAAAATGGTAGAGGCGATAGCTATTTCGGAACTCACCACATTTCCTCATCAGACTTCTTTCAGTAGGATTCGAACCGACGATCACCACTGACTCAGCCAGGTGCCTACGCACTGTGCTAAGTTCGCGTTGTGAATTCTTGTTGCTTTTTCCACTATTTCATTTGTTAAGCCAACTACAATCAAGCGCAGCTATTCCGCTGCAATCACACTTGATCATGTGGTTGTTGGTTTTGTTGGTTATTGTTAATATGTCAATTATTAGAATGTTTAACTTTTAGGTGTGCTCGTCCTTAAGTTATTTGTTTTTGTTATTTTATGGCCTTATAACAATTATATTCAAAAAATTAACAAATAACTAAAAAAAAACAACAAGAATTCACAAGGCGAACTTAGCACAGTGCGTAGGCAACTGGCTTAGTCAGTGGGATCGTCGGTTCGAATCCTACTGAAAGAAGTCTGATGA